AACTTCATGACATTAGCCATCCCGTTCCTGTTCTACTGAGCTCTCCCTCTCATGCAAAATTCTAGGCAGCCAGTACGTCGAAGGCGGCCTATGAGAGCAATGAAAATGCTCGCCTGGCCCGCTCCGAAATCGATGCCTTGACGATGGAGATTTCACGACTGCGCGAGGCAGTTGCTCGGGCTGAAGCGTCCAAAGCTGCCGCCGATCGCGAGTCCACCCACTGTCAAATTGATGTGGAACAGCTGCGTGCCCAGTTAGATGACAATGAGGCTGAACTCGCGCGGCTGAAGGACCAGCTGGCGACAGAAAGGGAGAACGCCCGGAACTTGCGCGTACTTCTTCAATCCAGCAAAGAGAAAGAGCACGCTGTTGCGATGGACGCGCAGGTAGAAAATAATTTTGGGTTTTCAACCGCTTCATTTCGTGGCAAAACAGTTGTCTGGGGGGATCGTGGACTTCGGAAATAACTAAACGAAGAAAAGGTTTTATCAGTATTTCAACTGTTTGCATAGGCCCTGTAATGATGAGAAAATTAACCGAGGAGCTTGGGCATGCCTTAAAACACCAAAAATTCCTCCGACAAGACCGGAACACTGATGAACATATAAAACACAAACATTTGTTCATTCAAGATGTCATCACGCAGTCGTCTTGGTAAAATAATAATTTATTCGTGGAAACTTGACCAAAGCATTTGAGTTTTCGACTGTAAAAGATTTATTACCACCCCACCCTAAATATTTCTGCTCATATTGTTCCTACTTATTTTCACTGAGTAGTTCGGATCGATGTACTAGAGTACGGTGTAATAACAATCGAGCTTGGGTTACATGGTTAGCGGGTGGCAGCGAAATTGGATCCCCAGGAAACACTGCTCTATTCCTCCTGTGTTTATACTTTCCATTTCTGCCTGACAGTAAAATAAAGGATCTCGGTTTTACATAAGGATATTCCCTGAATTCTGCGTGTCGTTGGGGTCATTTTAAGATGATACTTAAGGATACTATTTGGGCATCTGTTAGGTACTCCTTTAATATGGTACACCGTTGAGGTCGTTGGCACCGTGTGATTTCTACTCTTCCTGCGATCGTCTCATTTTTAAATTTACAGGCTGTGTTTTCAACTGTTGGTGATTTTACTATTAGGGATTTGGGGGGTAATTTGCATTGTATTTGTTGGACATTATTTCCTGAATTTTACCCGACATTTCCTGTAACAGTAAACTGCGTATGCCACCGCAAGCACATCATTTTTTCACCTTTACATTTATACACTATATCCGTTTGATTAAGGGTTGCCGTAAGTCCTATCTGTTGGTGATCCATTTACTGCTTGGGGAGAGTTGGATTTGTGTGTACAGTTGATTTTTTTACTAGTAATAAGACCAACAGATTCGCCGATTCAAAGTTGTACTGTGACCTGGAATTGTATTGGCAGGCCTCGCTCCGAGCAATCTTAATAATGTAGACTTTTACTTCCTTTTAACAAGAAATGTGCAATCACGCGATTTTTGGTACTTTTATCCATTAGGGTGTTTTTCGGGCACTTTATTCGCCCTACACATAGAGCAATATAGCCACCGGTTCCGTAAGCTTAGCGCCCTTAGTATGGCAATACTATACTCCGGCCTATACTCCGGTCTTAAAATTTCATGATGGAGAACACAAATATAGGTCTAATTCCAGACCATGGGATCCTTGGGGTCCCACCAAGGTGTATGGGCCGCCATCTCAAACCGGCGAGTTTACGTCAATACTGAGAACAGATAATTCTCTCTTTTGACTTCAAGGAAAAGACCAATGAGATCATCCTTCTGAGAGAACGAGCTGTGAACGCTGAAGAGAGGGCCGAATCACAACAACGCGAAGTAGAAAGATTGTACGAACGCCTCTCTGAGACGGAAAGGGAGGCCACACGGCTTTCGAGGAGTCTGTCAACAGAGCGCTTCGAGAAGGAACGCATGCTCTCCGAAATAAGGCTTACAAATATGCCAGCCCCCTACAGGCCATCGCCTTACACTCCTTCGTGAGTTTTAATATATACATTCAGCCTCTTGCTGTTTGAACGTAGATCTTCCACAGCGCTTAAGAATTTATACAACTTACAACACCGGACCTAGTGTTCGGAGATTCCGCGCTGACTGTAATTACAACGAACCTCGTGTGCCACAGATATACATCGAAATCAACTTAGATCGCCTGCGTTCCCCAACTTTCTCATCATGGCTGTAGCCGAAATCAAGTACCAACACGATAATAGCAATAATAACAATAATAGTATCTTGTCGTAGCAGATGTGAATAAATTGACACAATTATGTAAAACTCAGCGGTAATTGCAACTGCAGTCAGTATTACAATACTTGCTTGGCTGTTAAGCGCCCGACCAGTGTGCCAGGTCAAATCAAGTAAAGTCAATGACCAGTCACCCCTCCATGGTCATTTAGAATTCATCCCTGCCTATCCGCAACCTCGGACAAACTCAACCACATATAACTCCTCATCTGAAAAGTTACGATTTCGACACCGTACCATTTAAAGAGCATTAATAAAAGAATTGCAAAAGTTCCTTCCGAAACATGAAACTGGGAAATTCCGAGCTCTTAAAAAATGAAAATTTGCTCTCTTGTCCCTCTCCAGCACACGGAAATGAGGTGAGTTCACATTGCAATGGCTATAGACACTTCTGAGCCTTTCAGACACGCTAAAGGTATGCGTCTGACCACTAATACTACTCAGACGCACGCGGACAGCTGCATTCAGTGTTTCAAGCCGTCATTAGTCGATGTCGCTGAGAATCACTCTGCTATCTCTCCCTGCACCATGTAAACGAGTCCATTCTTTTTTTCAGCATTGGCACGAACCGCTACGTCAGCCATTCCATGGGCCGCCTGCGATCGCCATTCCATGAAAGAGAGGATATCTAACCATTAACTTCACATAGAAATTTTGCACTTCTCACTGTCTTCCCCTAACGATTAGTGATCGTGATATATATATCCGAGTTCGGAAGGTTGAAACGAAGATAAAACTGTTCTCTTCCTCCCCCATACCACTGAATTCTCTGACAGGCTCATTGTTTCCCCTTTGGCAAATTTCGGGGTGTTAGGGAAATGTTTTACAAGTTTCATTGTCCGAAGGGACAAGTCCCTGTAATCTCTTGTTGCCCCAATCCAGTCTCCTAGGTGCCCACTATTCTAAATTGATATTTCAGTCATTTGCTCGACTTTAACCGACGGGCCTACTCTCGCTTTACAGTCCAACTGTCAGCTGGATTTCTGTTGCCAAGATTTAACTAGTCGCTACCACTTTCAGAATTCTGTTTTCTTTGGTGGACAAACCTCATAGGTGATAGGTACATATGCCGGCATATCCAAAAGAACATACGGCAGTCTTGGCCTCGGGCCAAATCGCAAATGACCTACTCTAGCACTAGTCTTGGTAGAATGGTTTCAAACCACCATGAGCTTAATATTCAGCTCAGTATCTCATCGTGTCAGTAACTCCAGGTTGCCACCTGCTAAACCATCGCTTAGTCTACTTTGGTCAACTAGGACCACCATGGAATGGGGGCGGTGGTGGCCTGCACGTGAGTCCAACTACCCTGCGGGAGGCCCACATCTATATCCTGTCCTGAGTGTTTCAATGATGATGAGTGCCAAGTGCGATGAGGCCAGGCGCCATGCTTGATTGCGCATACTGTGGACGAATGCGCAAAAACAACGTGTTCCAGTCCTACTTCATAAACAAACTAGGTCTCGTGGTGATCGTAGAGTGACGCTCACTGACCTACGCCGGTAGCGGGACGAACGACGAACCCCTCCCTCTCGTCCTTGAGCTCCAATCTAAGGTCCCGCCAACGCTGGTATGACAACGAGCGAGCAGAACCCGGCAAGTGCTGACCAGAAGGAGAAGGATGCTAGCCCAGGCTAGTTGCAACCCGACCTTAGACCGTGAAAACAAGTGGTTGAACCCCAAGTCAGTTCACCAGAAACAAGTAGCCACAGGTCCTATCAGATGAGCTGCGGACCACATGTCGATCGTGATTTTAGATTAGAAACTGACCTCCGCCCAAATCTTTGACCTTCGCGGCCTGCAGCTGAGTGGTCGCTAGCCAATGACAGCAAATATGCCAGAAATAATCAGCAGAGTCTCCCTGCTCGGTAGTACCACTCGCCAACAACAGAAGCCGTCTGGCGGTTGAGGTCACAAAACTAGCGCTTTTAGAAGGTGGATAGCAGCAAGGAATAATGTAGAATAGACATGCAAAACGTAAGACAGAATACATTGTTTCCTCGCTGGCGTTGAGAGGTCATTTATGGGAGCAGAGTTACGAAGCTCAGTCGTTCCAGTGGTGATTTGATAATTTCTAACTTGTCCGAATAATGAAAAACAAGGCCTATCATAACCATCAGCGCATAGCTAACTGTCCCCCATGCCTTTCGCGAAAAAAACTCGGCATGATAGGAATACGTTATGGATTTAGATCACTCAGATGAGGTCGCAGTTCAGATAGGGCCGTTATCTCCCCCACTATCGGCCGTCGAACGTGCTGTAAACCCATCAAGGCGCCCGGCCGTAGCTTGTTGTATTGCGAAAGAGTGGAATAATTCGATTGTAATTAGGACTGTGGGTCTGTTTTTAATGGCTCCTTACCGTATCTTCTGTGGCACTCACGCGCGAGACGCTTCCCAGATAAAGTCTGGCGCGGGTGGCGTTTGGCGGGCGTAGACAGGCTACTTAGTTTTGCCACTCATTGCACCTAGGCCAATGTCCGGTCGTCTGGAATCTTGCCTTTGGAACTCGGCTGGTGTTAGAGTGGAAAGAAAGATGCTGCACTAGTCCGCCCATGGTGGGACGTACTAGAACTCTATCAGGTGATTTGAGCAAAGAACAACCCAAAGTCTTCAGAGGCGAAACCGGAAAAGGTGCAGAAAAGACAGAGACCACGTTTATTGGAGCAAATAAGTTAAGTCGAGGTTCTGTCCCCTTTAGCTAAACCCTAACGCCACACGTCTTCAATATAGCGATGCTCTTGCTTTAACATGGCCAGGTAACTTTGACCTCGTTTGATCTCCTCCGGCGTCAGTGTTTGAACTTTGGACGGGTCGATGCACACGCCCCCTGTGGCCAACCGAAGTGCGAATAGGGCAGCCCAGGCGGAGGCAACTGCGGGTGCCATGCCCTTGGCGTCGCCGCACACCTACAACCGCGGGAAAGACAGTTTATTTAGATGTTAAAAATCCCACAAGAAGACAGTGAGCAAAGTCGAATTCTTTCTCGGTTAAAAACAATGAGCAGAAGGCGCTGCGATAGTAAAAGCAGGCATTAACACATTGCGGATGAGTGATACGTTTTGATCGTGGAGGAGAATTCGAAACCAATAAAGTCACTTAAAAATTGACTTAATGTCCTGATGACTCCGAAGTGTGCGCAAACGGAACACCTGAGTTGGGGCAGGAAGACACGACAGAATAAACCCCGTTACTATGAAACCTAATTGTGGCGGTTATGGCGGAAGGAGGGGGGAAAGAGAGAGAATAAGGACTTCCAGCATGACCCTCTAGACCGTTCGAGATATTCACCCAACAAAGCAATTACGAAAGTTTGTAAAGGAAAGGTCTAGTGGTCCAAAACCGCGGGTTATGCAAGAAAAGCTATTAATAATCTGTGAAAAGATGAAAAAATTATGGGCGCTGACACATGCCTGCCAACATAGTTCCCGCAGGATTAGAGATGGAAGGGCAATATTAATAATAGCCAGAGGAAGTTTTCATACCCGAATGTGGGCCCCACAATCCATGACCAGATGGGTCAGCTGATCGGCGTGGGAAGGTGACGGGCGACTGCGCGCCGATTCCTGCATGGAGAGATCGGAAAAGGCAGTAGCAACGTCTGCAGAGCATTCACAGGCACCAGGTGCAGCCATACGGCAATCAGCCGCCAGCATGCATTCCTGAACATACTTGCACTTCTGCGGCAAGCAGGCGTGGCCAAGGAGGTCGCGAAGATGGGGTGCAAGAGGTGGGTTAACGGCTGAATCAGCCTGGGATGGACGGCGTGAAAAGCAGAGACAAAGATGGCCTAGAGTCCCATCACGTAGGAAATCCAATAACGTGGTCGGAAAGAGGAGATCAAAGTGCGAGTCGCGGCAGCCAAACAGCAGCCAAGTCGGCTGGAAGCCAGCGCCCTAAAAAATGGAGGGACGAAAAGAGTCTGAAACACCTAAGTGCGTAGCAATCAGTAGGACCAGCAAAGCTTGACGAAAAAGGCCAATTCTACGAAACGGGGTAGCGGAGAAAAACAGTAACCGATGACTATAACCCGTTGCAGATCCAGTACTACGCCATTTTCAATTGGACGGAGCGACTAAAGAAATAACCAGCCAAGGCTTAACGAAACCAATTTTCGGGTTTGGTCGAATTTAACTAACCTAGCTTTAAGGACAGCACTTAAACGTTTGAGCTTCTTAAAAAATGACGGCAATCAGAATTAAGAAGCTATGCTCAACACTGGTCCTAACCGGCCGCAACCCGTCAGGTAAAGGGGGGGGGGGGACAGTGAACTCGAAAAAGACAAGCCTCACGGTAAAACAATAATTCCACGGACTCCACAAGGACGAGATCCTATGGTCTTCCAGAAGTGCACAAAGTCAACATCCCCAGGGATTGCACCAGCGCATGGATTAGCAAAGCAGTTGTTATGCAGAATCATCTTATCTTTAGACCCCTCAACTACCGGCACTTAAGCGAGAAAATACCTCAAATTCATCGAGGCCTGCCGAAGAAATGGATGCAATCATAGTGTTCCTTTATTTAAAGTTAGTGTACACATTCATTCCAAACCGGCCAGCTGTGAAAACTATACTAGACTTCCTTATTCCACGCGGTAGCTCAGACCCCTGTCGGAATCGTAAAGCCCTGTGTACAGACCCACACCAACTTAAGCGGGTCAGACTAATGACCCACAAAATAAAGCAAATAAAAACACGAAATTATCGGTGCAGGGGGCCGAAACCAGTAGAATATAAATTTCCGTACGATTCCCACCTATCGAATGCAGAGGTCAAGTGGCCTTCGGTGCATACAACATAAAAGCACGAGATCTCCCAGAGTTAAAGCTATTTGCGGGGTTTCCGATTAAAACGCGATAGCTACATCGAAATAACAGATCGGCTTCTACCGAGTATCCATCCCATCAGTAGCCCCGTCGTCGTCAATGCTGGGTTGAGTGGGTGGAAAAGTAACGGCAGCTGGATGTGGTTGAATATTATTGTCTGGAAAAAATCCGTCGCGTGAAGAACACTAATGCCATTTCTGTTGACACAAAGAGCAACCAAGGATGGCCTCAGACATCCAACAAAGACGGCTAAAGTAGGCTCGGAACGATATTCGTCATTTGCACGTGAGCTCTGAGTAGATGATATCGATACAGCGCCACAGGCCGTCCGCAGGCAACGAAGAGATCGGCTCTAAGCCTGGCTCAACAAAACCGTAAGCGAAAAGGCTCACATGAGCGCGCATTTTGTCGATTAAGGATCCGTCGCTGAAAGATACACCAGACGAGGTGACTCCGACACATTGCGGCCGAAGTCCTGCAATGGGTAAACACAAGTTGTCAAACAATCCAGCTCCTTAACGTAACCCAATGCTCGAAGACCAATTCGGAATAAGTTCAGAGCCCACAGAGAAAAACAACAACAACGAAAACGAAAAGCCCAGCAAAACAGAATAACCTCCTAACAAAGCACATCAAAAGTACTCTCCCTCTGGCAAAGAGCCGCACATTCGGCTTAGCCCCTCCATTTCTCCCCTGATGAACACCGAGTCCAACCGACCCTCGGTTGCATACGCCGACAACGGAAAAACTACAACCTTGCAAACAACTACAACACCAACAACAACAACCTCGAAAAACACATCAACAACAACAACAAAAACCACCGAAGCTATTACTCATCCTGGGTAGGGCTGAACAAACAGGCACACATCCCCCGCACACGCATCCCATCATTCATCCATCACCCCATCATTACCTTTTGCACATAGCACAAACTCTGAACAAACACCAACAGCCTTAACCACAACTCACATTACTCACAAAGCGTCACTTCTCAACTCCTACAGCTACCGAAACACGCAACCACTGCCTTCGCAACATATTGTCCTAACAAAAAAATACCAAAGCCACTCTCTGTCTGGCAAAGATCCGCACATTCGGCTTACCCACTCCATTTCTCGCCTGATGAACACCAAGGCCAACCGACCCTCGGTTGCTTACGGCGACCACGGAAAAACAACCTCGCAAACAACAACAACGGCAACAACAAAAAAACAACAACAACCACCGAAACTACATCTCATCCTCTGTCGGGCTGAAGAAATAGGCACACATCCCCCCCACAAGCATCCCATCATTCATCCATCACCCCATCATTACCTTTTGCACATGGCACAAACTCTGAACAAACACCAACAGCCTTAACCACAACTCACATTACTCACAAAGCGTCACTTCTCAACTCCTACAACTACCCAAACACACAACCGACACATCCCCAAATATTCTCACAACAAAATACACCAAAGGCACTCTCTGTCTGGCAAAAATCCGCACATCCGGATTGGCCACTCCATTTCTCGCCTGATGAACACCGAGGCCAAACGACCCTCGGTTGCTTACGGCGACAACGGAAAAACTGCAACCACGCAAACAACTGCAACAGCAACAACAACAACCTCGATAACAACAACAGCAACAACGACCCAAACTACATCTCATCCTAGGAAGCCAGGCGTCGTCTCACCTGCGAGCAAGTGAGCGACCACCACGACCATCACGTGAACCCACTGCTGGACACCCCTACATTAACAACAACACCAACCTCGACAACAACAACAACAACAACAACAACAACAATAACAACAACAACAACTACTACAACAACGACAACCGAAAATACAAATCATCCACCGTCGCGCTAAACAAACAGGCACACATCCCCCGCACACGCATCCCATCATTCATCCATCACCCCATCATTACCTTTTGCACATGGCACAAACTCTGAACAAACACCAACAGCCTTAACCACAACTCACATTACTCACAAAGCGTCACTTCTCAACTCTTACAGCTACCGAAACACGCAACCACTGCCTTCGCAACATATTGTCCTAACAAAAAAATACCAAAGGCACTCTCTGTCTGGCAAAGAACAGCACATTCGGATTAGCCACTCCATTTCTCGCCCGATGAACACCGAGGCCAAACGACCCTCGGTTGCTTTCGGCGACAACAGAAAAATTACAACCTTGCAAACAACTACAACACCAACAACAACAACCCCGAAAAACACATCAACAACAACAACAAAAACCACCGAAGCTATTACTCATCCTGGATAGGGCTGAAGAAACCGGCACACATCCCCCGCACACGCATCCCATCATTCATCCATCACCCCATCATTACCTTTTGCACAT